GTCTCACTCTGTCGCCCAGGCTGGAGAGCAATGGCAAGCTCACGGCCACCCCAGCATTGACCAGCGGGGCTCTGGCGATCCTTCTGCCTCAGCCTTCCAAGTAGCCAGAACTACAGGCGTGCGCTACTATACCTGGCTAATTTTTTATTTATTGTAGAGATGAGGTCTCGCCACGTTGTCCAGGCTGATCTTGAACCTGTGGGCTTAGGCAGTTCATTCACCTCAGCCTCCCAAAGTGCTGGGATTACAGATGGAGCTACCAATCCCAGCCTCCTTTTTTTTTTGAGTTGGAGTCTCATTCTGTTGTCCAGGTTGGAGTGCAGTGGCATACTCACAGCCATCCTAGTGGCTACCTGCTGGGCCCAGGTGATCCTTCTGCCTCAGCCTTCCAAGTAACTGGAACTACAGGCACCCTACCACACCCACCTAATTTTTTTATTTATTGTAGAGATGAGGTCTCGCCAAGTTGCCTGGGCTGGTCTCGAACCCATGAGCTCAGGCAATCCTCTCACCTTGGCCTCTCAAAGTGCTGGGATTACAGGCTTGATCATTCATTTTGATGCACAGATTATCCTGCCTTTGGCCTATCATGTTGACCTCAGTATTCTCTTGACATGACTCCATTAGACTTTAATAGCTTCCTTGCTTCCTGGTATAAAAAATATCGTAAACTCATCATGCTCATTTTTTTGCATCAGTCCAGGACTCAGCCATGTCTCCAAAAAGCCTTGATTCCTTTGACTAACAGTAGAGACACAATCTGGGCTACTAAGGCTGTTTATTTCTGCTGGGATGTCTCTGCTTCCAGACATTTTCAGTGGTGATAAAGACAGCATCTTACAGTGTTTCCATGCTCCAAGATTAAAGAACCACTGTGTCATAACTAGCTGCAATAATGTGAAATTATTAAATTACATTATTGACCATTGATTTTTTTGTACACAGTTTAAAAGTAGCATTAAAGGATGAGTTATTTTTTTTCCTAAAGAATATGTTTTCATTCTTGTTCTCCTTGAATTTTGACTGACTCATTTGTGTGAACCAAAGAAACCAGGTGACCATTGTACCAAAATATTCAGATTTAAATTGCTAGGTGACTTAAAAACCACGTGTCATCGTCATCATCATTGTGAATGTTGCTTCATCAGCTATTCAGGAGAGCAGTGTCATTATAAATATAGATTTATATCATTTTTGCTAGAAGCCCATCTTATTTAATACATATGTATCTATTGTGGAGTGTGGATGGCAAATAAGATCTATGTGTAACTTATGGTTCTCTCAAAGCTTCTGAACTCTTCTTATTGTTGTCTATGCTCTTTGAGGGCAGGAAGTTGTTTAATAGCTGTAGATAATTGACTTCTTGATAAGAGTAGAATTATAGTCTCTAGGGAGTTGCTATACGTTGTGTTGTTAGAGGCATAATCACTATCATATCAGAGGTTGACCTGAAACTGATTCTGAAGCATTCAGGAATATTAGATATAAATTAAACTCCCTTTTGCTTAAGGGCCTAGTCTCTAAAATTTCTCCTCATGGAATTTAATTTTAAGGATGAGCTTTGAAATATTAATTTTTCAGATAATGCTTTAATTTTATCTAAATCAGATTGAAACTATTGTAGATATTGCCATTCAGTTTAAACACTGATGTATTGGTCTAGTGATTCATGTTATAAAAACAATAGTACTTACTGCTGTCTTAGGATTCTATCTTCTTTCTGCCTTTTTTGTTTGTTTTTGTTTTTTGTAGAGACAGGGTCTCAGTGTGTTGCCCAGGCTTGGCCTCAAGCATTCCTCCCACCTCAGCCTTCCAAAGTGCTGGGATTACAGATGTGAGCCACTGCACACAGCCAGAATTCTATCTTCTATTTCATATCTTAAAGATCTCGTATCTTGTCTTTTTAATGCCTTTGTCAAAAAGTGGTGAAACACATAGATTTTTTTTAACTATGAAAATGAATCTCAAACAAGTCTGAAGGAAATAATTGTGTTTTCCAAGGAAAATATTTGCCTCTTTAGAGGAAATACAAATTATCATACTTACTCTTTATCATTTCTTCTCTTACTGATGTCATCTCCATTCATCCAACTATTTAACTCTCAAGATGAATATTTTCTCCAGAGGCTCACATTCCTTTTTTGGAAATTACAATTCTCCCTAGGTTTATTTGCTGGGATGAGATAACATAGGTGCTCATCTTCACATGATTGTTGGCACATTTCTTTGCTGTAGGGCAGGATAGAAGCCAAAGCTTTGGAAGATGTTGGTGAAGCTAGTGAACAGTTTCCTGTGTTTTTCCACACATTCCTCTGCTCCGTCCATTCTCATAATTATCAAGAAGTATTTATATGTGTTTCCTAGCTTTAAATATTTTTTATCTGTATTTTACCTCTCTCGTGTTGGTTAATTTGATAGTAGAAGCTAAAGGATCTTCCTGTTGTGTCACTGCAATATGCAAACTTTGTTGACATTCATGACTCCAAAGTACATGTGTTGAATCTACAGCTGTTTAGTGATTGCTATAATAGTGTTTAGAGTTAAAGAGGTAGTACATTTTTGCCAAAATAAGAGTTATTTTTATTTTGTTGTACTTTGCTTTTCTTCACATGTAAATATAAATTTTAGTTTTGTATAAGTAGGTGTCATCTATATTATTCAAGGGTTTGTTTGTTAACATTAGTTCTCTTTGGCTCTGCTGATGTACTTTACTTGTAAAAGGAAAATGACTATTTAAACCTTCTCAATGTTTTTAGCACTTCCGAATGGTATTTATTTATATCTAGTGATTTGGGGCTCCATTGTCCAGTCTTCTAAGTCAGGAAAATGTAACTATAAGTGGAAACAGATTAGACTCTGCAGTGTTAAAACCAATTCTTTTGTCTTTTATTTGTATATAAACATTCAATTGCTTTAGCATTATTGAGTTCAGCACAGAATGTTTTAATTTCTCAGTTTTCAAATTGAAATTACTTTATTTGCCTTGCTGTTATGCAAACAATGGAAATGTCCTTGGTGCTATTACAGTTTCTCAGAATTCTTAACATCTTTCATTCCTTTATCCTTTTGTGTTTTCTTTTAAGTATTCCATTAATGCTTTAGTAATAATACGTTCTCCTATTTTTAAAGCAGTAATTTTGCCAACAGGTTACTTTTATTTTGAATGAGCTCTGTCATCACCATGGAAATAATACTTCACTAGAAATTCTAGTTAATAAAGCTTAACTGTTTAAAGATGTTTCTCGTCAGTATCTTTTGTTAGATAATTCTTTAAAGCTAGACTCTTCCCAGATGTAGCTGTTAATATTTACTGTGTAAAATGGTTTTCCACAATTGTGCTATTTTTGCTTTCTTCCTGTATGACTGATTTGTTGTGCAAAGCGAAAATTATATAACATAGTATACCCATCCTTGTCATCCCAATAATTTATTTGTGATTCTCTAGTTTTTAATTTGCCTATGTATACCACCTGAAGCTATCCATGCTCTATACTACAGGGGCTTTCAAGTGATAGGACTGATTCCAGTTACTCTTGCTACGATTGAATTATATCAGAATGCTTAAACACAGCGCTTCTAAAGTCAGAATGCTTGAGTTTTAATCTTGGTTTAGCCCCATATTTCTATATAATCTTGGAAAATTAACATTTCTTTTCTTTCTTTTTCTTTTCTTTTACAAAACCAAAATGAGAAAGAGAATAATTTTTCTTTATGCCTCAGTTTTTTTCATCTTTGAAGTAGTTTTATTACTACTTCTAAGGGTTATTGTAAGGATCACATGACTTAATACAAAGTGCTAAGAATAGTGCCTTGCAAATAAAAATAGCTATTCTTTTCATGATTTTTTTCCTTTGATGAATTTCACATATAAGAGAAAGCTGCCTCATTGCTTCTGTAATTGATTTGACAGAAATGCACATGTTACTCCACTGTGGCAATTAGACATCTATATACATATTTCACAATTTGTTTTTTATGTCAAAGAGAAAAATGGCTAGGAAATAAGCTATTATAAAGAATTTATTTGAGAAAGTTACAGGGTATATTCTAAGGACCTAGAGTTAATATTGATTAGCTTGTTTTATTTAGAAGAGATTAAATTATATTTGGTATATTTAATTTGCTAAGACCTAGCATAGTCATTAATTATAAATGTATATCAGGATCTGAGAACTAAGATGATTATATCATAGCTGTGCTTGATAATTTCTTCATATAATGTTTTGCTTGCTTGTCATTAATTTATTCACTTGTTGATAAGTTACGATTCTTGAGTAGCATTGAACCATAAAATGATGTTATTTGTGAAGGAACCCGTATATCTAATGCAAGAAGAGGGGGAAAGGATAAAAATATATTTTCTTTTATTTTTGTCTTTTTTTTTAATTACAGAGGGCAAAAATATCAAGCCTCACATGAGTAAAATTAGTCCTATACAGAAAAGTTTAGCAATGGCTGACCTGACTGGCTCTTAGAATTTATATGAAAGGGAACATTATTATTATTGTACTCTCTGTTGTAATTTTTTTAATGTGCCCATCACAAAAGTAACACAATAGAATGTTAAGACTCTCTAAGTTTAAAAATTATACTTAAGATAATGCTTATTAATATATATATAGATATAGAAAGAGCTCTAAAATACATTGCCAAATGGCAAAAGAAGACATTAAATATGTATAATATAATCCCATTTTAAGGTAGAAATAAAAATCTATGTATATACTAATTTATGCATAAATATTTTTCTGGTAGGATGTACAAGAACTTAAATATTTTTCTCTTTATATATTGTTTGAAGTTTTAATCATATACATCTAATACTTACATTAAAATATATAAACAAAGTATATATTTATATGTAACAAAAGATTGGTAGGATGCATTCTAAGTTTCAGATTCTATATTTTTTCCTTGAAAATATTTTTAAAAAACCAACAAGAATCTAATGTTGACTAGCTCAGAAAACAGTTCATTAAAGCAGGATTACTTTTTCCTAGGATTTCCACTTAAACAGAGTTAATTTGGAAGAATCTTCAGGAGTAGAAAATTCTCCAGCTGGTGCTAGACCAAAGAGAAAAAACAAGAAGTCTTATGATTTAACTCCAGTTGATAAATTTTGGCAAAAACATAAAGGAAGGTAAGAAAAATACCAGTAAGTAAAAGATTCATTTCTTAAAGAGAAATAAAGATGCTATCTGACCTAATGAATTTGAGGAAAAAAGAAGGGTCATGGTACTTCATTCACACCATGAATGGGAGCTATAATTAAATAGTCCATAGATATGTGTCTTTATTACTCAATTTCTTCCTGATTCCTGGGTTGTTTTCTGTTAGTTGTTGTTTTGGAGGGGGCATTTCTCTTTTCAATAAGTCCACCTCATATGGTTTTGCAGATTTCACAAGTAGTGTTTCTAAACTTTATTGCTTTCTTCACAGACTCTATAAGATCATCTCTGGCTTTCATTGAAATGTTTTTTGTGATGGGAAAACTTTGGAGTGTTTTTTCCTTTTTGTTCCATGTTTGCCCTCATAAATACTCTGCTTTAGGTATCTATTGATAGAGTACCTAAGCCTGAAGCTCAGAGATTTATTCAAAGCACATTAGAAATAATGGGTGAAAAAAGTATAATTATTTGCTGTGTGATTTATTTCAGGCAGACATGCATATCCCATGTGATGCTATGCTCTCCTAAAATTTAGGCTACTTCATGGACTTAGCAACTGCTATAAAAGTTATTTGGTAGACATTACAGCTAGAGAAATCATTCTAAGCAAACAAAAAAATTATTCTTTAGAGAAAAAGAAGAATGCTGTTCATCAACAATTAATGAAAAATTTATTATAGCATTTCAAGTATATGTATGTCTGATATCTGTTCTTGATACAGCTGTTCATGTTGGTCCCATTTTATGTTTGAAGAGAAGTAGAATATAGACGTGGTTCGGCATGCTGGCATTTTTGTATGTTTTATCTTTTGTCCCTTACAAATTTTTAAACAGGAAAAGCACATTACTATAACAAGGATTTGACTTTCTATCTTTCTGACTTTTTTCTGGCAGTTTTAGGTACTATTATAATTAATTTTGTTTTAAGCAATAGTCTTGCCGTTGGAATTTCATAGTCTACATTTCCCTCCAGAATGGTGACATATACAAAAAATTACATCTTATTAGAGAGACACTATTTGAGAATATAGGATATTTTAAAGTTGACATTCCCTAATAGAGAAAAGCTTAAGGAGAAAAAAATCTTATTCAAATATGGAACATGTAAATATTTTTTTAGACCATAAGTTTAGGAACAATCTAAGAGGTCAGTCAAATAATAAGAACTTTAACCTTATGTTTATAAAGTAGGAATAGCTCTGCATATTGTACCACAATAGTAACATGAGCACAAAGATACTGGGAGACAGCATAAAGTTAGACAAGTGAATAAAACCTTTGTGAGCTTCAGTTTCCTCATCCATAAAATAGGGAGATGATAATTCTACATGATGCCCTATTTCAGAAGCTTGTTATAAAGATTGAGATAATAAATATAAAGAAATAACTTGCCCAAATACATATTTATTGATAAAGCCAAGGATGGAATTCAGTCTGGCAGACCTGGGCTTAACTGTAAATAGACCTACACCAACAGGCTGGTCAGCACTGAATGAGATAATAGAGATACATTTTTAGCATAGTGTTTGATATACAGTAAAAGCACTCAGTAAATGAAAGCAGTTATTATTCTCTGATAGCTCTGAGACCTGAAGATATCAGAGATTTTTAGGATTATCTAATTCAACCAGCACATTTTACAGATGAAGATAGGGCCCTAAGAGTTTGCCTGTAAAGGTAGTTTCCACTGTGATTAGATGAAACAAAGGCTTCTGACTCCATAGTGCACTGTTGAAACCTCCGTGCTATTTTTTTAGCCAACATAGACTCACTGGATCTAGATTAAGTGCCTGGGTTGTCAGGTAAAATTGGACTATGTTCCTCAGAATCCTTTCTGAACTCCTGTCTTTTCTGCCAGCTTCATTGGATAAAATGTATAGATCCTTAGTGAGGTGTTTCCAAGTGTCAGGGCTGAGGAAAGGGTGACACTTGTTTCATTACTAGTGAGACATGACCTCTTGTTGCTTAAGGGAGAAAAAGCTTCTGGCCTCCCCTAAGGCTATAGATGAAAAATACCCGTTTTAAGAAACATTTCATGGTCAACACATATTCATGTAGAATTTTTCAAGATTAGTGCTGTGTGCCTCTTTTACTATCTAAGCAACTCATGATTGCAGATCATTTAGGTCTTGAAGTGTGTAAATTACTGCTAAACTGCACTGACTTGGAAGAAGATTATCAGGCATTAAACCTACCAAAATTTTGGTCTAACTGTTCTTTTTACCAGTAGTGCTCTAGTGTTCTAGAATATTGAGAGTACTGAGTTATGATTTTTTTTTTTCAGTTACTTGCAGGTGATTTTTTAAAAAATGCCATCTTTGTAGTTGCACGGGCCTTTTGAGACTATATGTTAATTTTGCTAGTATATTTAATTAATGCTTGATATACCATGACTTCTCTTTCTTTGATTTTTAGCACGTAAATATTTTCCTTTTTCTTCTAAGAGCATACAGGTGAAAGTGTGATATCATTAATGAAAGTAATAGCAATAAAATTTACGTTTGTTTAATTGTATATGTATAAAGGCATATATAATGTATATATGCATTTTAAAGAATAGTATTATATAAATAGATATGAAAAAGATATGTAGTTATGCTGCATGTTTTCTGCCTTTGTTATATAAAATATATTCAGATCCAATTAAGTGTATTTAAAATAGTAATAAATCTTCATTGTGTATATTTCAGAATTCATGCAAAAGTCAATTTATTAATGTCATACTCAGAGTTCCTCTTGTGCATTCTTGTTTTAGTCCGTTCCCAGAAGTTGCAGAATCGGTTCAGCAAGAACTAGAATCTTACAGAGCACAAGAAGATGAGGTCAAAAGACTTAAAAGCATTATGGTAAGATTTTGTTTGCTTTCGAATAATTATAGGGAAGAAGAAGGACATCTGGAGGGATAAAGAGGTTGACTTTTTTTCTCTCAAAAATTCGAGGCCATTTATTGCTTTAATAACAAAAATTTTCTCAACTTACATAAGTAATATTTTCCAAATAGAAATCTGAATATTGAGAAAGAGCAAGACTTTTGAAAATAATGTGAATTTATGATTTGAAAAAATATATAATGTGTCTTCATTTTAGAGATATGTGTTCCAGCGCGGCTCATTCTACCATACTTTGATCTAATTTCAGATTTCAGCTCTACTGTTTATTACTGTGTGACTTGTGGCAAGTCTCTGGACCACTTTCCTTATCTGAAAATACCAGCTAATTCTTTGTTTAGTCATCCAGCCATGTGTTAGACTGGTGGTGACTAGAACTTTTGTATAATTGTCAAAAATACATGTACTTGTTCCTCAGAGGAGAAGAATTGCTATTCTAGGTGACTTAAATCTGATAGTATATCAGTAATCTTAGGTATGTGTTGACTTTTATGTTTGGGCCTGGGACTTTTGAGTAGCTACTGGTACCTTTTTTTCTTTCCCAGGGGCTAGAAGGAGAAGATGAAGGAGCCATAAGTATGCTTTCTGACAATACTGCTAAGTTAACATCAGCTGTGAGGTAAGCAATATATCCTCTCGGAAGTCTTTCTGTTAAAGTTTATTCAGGAAGTTTAGAAATAGCTAATGTTTTCAGCAGTAGGTAATAGAAAATATACCTTTGAGTTTAAAGAACTAAATTGTGCTTTTAACATGTGCAAGCTAATTTTAGTTCCCCCAGATATAGGAGATCATTTGCTTTTTTCATGAGTTAAAATTGTGTAATAGGTATAATTTTACTAAGAAAATAGTATTAGTGATAACATAGGGTAAGTTATTATTAATTGTGTTATTGCTGCTATTAACTAAAAGTTAACCCATTTTTTCAATACTTTGAATGCCATTAAAACAGAGGGAGGAAACATGTTTTAGAAATATGGGTAAAAGCATGTTTCTATTAATCTGATTCTATTTAAACCTCTAAACTTTGAAATCATGTAGTGAAATGGTACAAATATTGATATTTGTAAGATTAATTTAAGAAGGATTTCACCTGTATTAAAGTAATAAAATCTGTATATGTCCAAGCCTAGAAATTAAATTCAGTTGATAGACAGTTTAATGTGTCATTTTGTCACTATTTCACTGTCCTGGGTTTCTAAAGAAGAAACACTGAGGCATGGATTTTATTAAAGTCTGTATCATTTTAGAAAATATCAATGGTTAACTTTTAATTTTTTGATACTTGTAGTTCTTTGCCAGAACTCCTTGAAAAAAAAAGACTTATTGATCTCCATACAAATGTTGCCACTGCTGTTTTAGAACATATAAAGGTAAATTTAACTTTTCCCCCTCAAGACGACTTGTATTTATATAGGATTTTATACTTTGGAAGATTTTTTCATCTTCATTATCTCATTGAGCCCTCACTATAATATTATGAAGTGTAATTTTGGAGAACAGCAGTAGTACGTTCATTTTTTTGCAAATGAGGAAGCTTAAGATTCCAGAAAGATAAGTGATTTGCTCAAAGTCACACGTTTAGTAAACAGAAGTCAGAATCTGTCATATATCTATTATTTTGTATTGCCTCAATACTGTTTCTGTACATACTGCTCTATTGATAGTAGACCCGTATCTCCCCACCAGTAATAGGGATTTAGAAATACATTTTTAGTATAGTAGTATCTAAAATATCATTAATATCATCACTTTATTTATGTGACTTGACTCTGAACTTTTTAGAGATGAATCTTTGAACATCAAGGCTTCCTACTGTGTCTCACTGAATTGTGATTTTGAATCAAATATATTATGGCTTCTGAATGTTGTTAGCATAGTTCTTTTTCTCATTACTATATCCATGATTACCCCCCATCAGCTCATTTAATCAGTCCTTCTGTGTTCTACTATTGGTTTACTCTCTGGTCATGGAGCTGAACTTCAGTGGCAAACTGACCATATGCTAAGACTTAGTTAACACTGACTCCTACTTTCCACTTAATATGATACATTTGAAACTGCTTAAACAGCTGAATATTACTGCTGCCTGTGAAAGATGTTGATAACACCTTGGAGACGGTACTTCAAGTATTTAAGCCTAGAGATTTAATTCATATGCACGCGCACACACACACACACACACACACACACACACACACAGACTGTGCTTCAAGTATTTAAGCCTAGAGATTTAATTCATACACACACACACACACACACACACACACACACACACACACACACACACACACAGACTGAGAGGGAGGGGGAGAGAGAGAAAGCCAGATTACAGACAACAGAGAGCTAGCTATATTGAGAATTTCCTTTAGTAAGAAAGAAAAAGCTTTGCTTATGGGGCTAAATATGAAGACTGTGACTCTAATAACAGATAGTTAAACAAAAATGTATTGCCTTAAGACAAAACAAAATATAGGTTCTAGATTACAGTTATTAAACTATAATTATGTTGTTATACCTTGTGATTCATTCAACAAATATTTTTGAGTATTTACTGTGTGCTAGGCAGTATGCTAAGTGCTATATGCAACTCGACAATTATAAACAAATTCCAAGAAGTTTAACAATTGTTAATAGTCCTGTGTGTGCTTTGCGACTTAAGCTATTTTATGAATTTCCCTTGACTTATAGTGAGGTTTTTTTTAATTAAATGTTTATTAACTCTCACATTTTACTTTCTAACCTCTGTCTCACACCTGTAAAAGCAGGAAAATACCTAGCTCAACTCCTGCTACCAAACTGAATTGTGTAACTAATTATGGTACCTATGGAAAGTGCATAGTTCAGACTTCACATACATTCATAAAACTTTACAAAGAAACATTATCCTACAACAAATTTATACAAATATACTCTTTAATAAGATAGAACTTATAACTTGAGAAAATTTTGGCCAGCACAGTGGCTCAAGCCTGTAATACCAGCACTTTGGGAGGCTGAGGTGGGAGGATTGCCTGAGCCCAGGAGTTCAAAACCAGCCTAGGCAACAAACAAGACCTTGTCTCTACCAAAATATAAAAAAATTAGCCAGGCATGGTGGTGTGTCCCCGAAGTCCCAGCTACTTGGGAGGCTGAGATGAAAGATCACCTGAGCCTAGGAGTTTGAGGCTACAGTAAGCTATGATCATGCCACTGCACTCCAGCCTGGACAACAGAGTGAGACTCTGACTCAAAAAATAATAATACTTTGAGAAGAATTTGATTCATTTACTTATTCAAGTCATGTTGATTGAGTGGCTCTGTGTATATTATGCTAGACCTTGAAGCTACTATGATAAACCAGATAGACAAGTTCTGTGTTCTCTTGGAGCTTGTATTGTAATGACAACAGAGTAAACAAATTAGAAAACAAGATAACTTAAGGTGTTTAAGTGATGTGAGAACAGCAAAAGAGGATGATGTGAGATGATAGAGAATGACTAGAAGGCTACTCTAGAGTAAGTGGTTAGGTGAACCGAATGAGGTGATGCTTGAGTTGGTACCTGAATCACAAGTAGCCAGTTAGTGAAGATCTCAGGGCCAACTAGGGAGTAAATGCAAAGGGCCGGAAGACAAACAAATTTGGTGTGTTTGAGAACTTAGAAGACAAACGAGGGGAAAGAAAGAGTGATAGAGTGTGGGGTCAAAAAAAGAAGTCATTGGAGGTTATTAACATAGTCTGGTTTGTTTTAAATGGAGAATGGATTGAGGACTATGAGGGATGGTGAGTTCTGGAAATAAATGTAGAACTGGAAGATGAGCTGTTGTAGATGCCTAGATGAAAAATGGTGGTTTATGTACTTATAAAAATTTTATGATGCTTATTTGTAATTTGACACTGATGATTTTAGATAAGTTTTCATAATTAGTTTATGCTAACAGAGACCACCTGTCTGAGATAGTTTAATATGCCACCATGCCTAACCTAAACATTTGTACTTGAAGACTCTGGTCTCATGAAAGAGTTTCTTTGAAGACTGCTCATTCTCTGGCATAGCATCATTAATTTCTTATTTAAGATATTGAGTGATTTTATGTAAAAGATAGACGTTATTGAATCATTTTGCTGAAATTCAGGTAAGACACTCATTTCTTCACAGGATCTAACTTAAAGGATCTTCTATAAAGGACATTCACTTTACAGAGGGAAAATTATGTCATGTATAGCACATACTATTCCTAGTTGTGGTTTCCAGGAAACCCAATGAATATCAGAAGATTTTTAAAATATCGTAGCATATGTATTTTAAATATTTACATATACACAGGGGTATATTTAATAAACCACATGTGTAAGAGTTATCTTGATATAAGAAATTCTAATAGCATAGAAAAATTAAAATATTTTCTGTGAAGTTATTGTTTAATGTTGATAATCTGTTGAAGTTACTCTTTGCCCTTGTCAGACTATATTTTATTATATCTCATTATTTCTACTTATAAAATTTCTTCTTGTAGTTTTCTATAACTGTTACATTTTCAGCTTTATAGTATTTACTTTTAAGTGACATGTTTATCTTTACCATTACTGTGTTACACCATCTACCGCTGGCTATAATGTTAATGTTAATTTTAAAAGTATTTTTCTTTCTGATCTCTTGCTCCTCTCACCAGGATTTCTTGACCACTGGAACTTCATTTGTTTGTAAACATTAATTCACCTAAGCAGTAAATTTTTTTGAGACAGAGTCTCACTCTGTCACCCAGGCTGGAGTGCGGTGGCACATCACGGCCACCACAGCCTTGACCTACTGAGCTCAGGTGATGCTTCCACCTCAGCCTTCCAAGTAGCTGGAACTACAGGCATGCGCCACCAAGCCCGGCTAATTTGTTGATTTATTGTAGAGATGAGGTCTTGCCAAGTTGCCCAGACTGGTCTCTAACCCGTGAGCTCAGGCAGTCCTTTAACCCCAGCCTCCTAAAGTGCATGAGCCACTGTGCCTGGCCTTTTTTTTATTTTTATTTTTAGTTGGAGTCTCACTGTCATCTAAGCTGGAGTGCAGTGGCACGCTCACAGCCACTGCAGCCTCTGTCTGCTGGGCTCAGGTGATCCTTTCGCCTCAGCCTTCCAAGTAACTGGAACTACAGATACACTCCACCACACCCAGCTAGTTTCTGTGATTTATTGTAGAGATGAAATCTCACCAAGTTGCCCAGGCTGGTCTCGAACCCCTGGACTCAGGCAATCTTCTTGCCTCAGCCTCCCAAAGTGCTGGGATTACAGGCTTGAGCCGCTGTGTCTGGCAGCAGTAAATATTTATTATTAGCAAGAATATTGTGTTTTTATGCAGAGATCAAAGAGTATCTCTCTTGGAGTTATCTTTATTACAGTTTTGCATGTTTCTTCTTTGGGGATGTTTAGATTATAGCTACTTACATTTCCTTAGATCATTTTCTGAAGCAAGATACTAGGAGAAATTAATCTCTTTAGAAGTCCTGGCAGTTAATCTTGTAATCAGTGTTTTGGTCGAAAATTAGAAAGAACAAAAAGTTTGCCACAACTTTGACAAATATTATCACTTATTGTTTATTGATATTCTAAAGATTTTAGTGATTTGGGTAGTTAACTTTGGTCTAATAAAGAGTAAGTTGTTGAATGTTCTTTTTTTTAAATGTAATCTATATTTTTAAACATTTTTACTTTAGTTCTTTCATTTCTAATACAAGTATGTCTTTCCCCACTTTCTGATTGTTAGGGAATGGCTTCTGGGATTGCTTACATAATTTGTAGACTACCTATTTTAATTATTCTTAGCCCACCTGCATAGTCAAACTGAATTAAGTACTCTTTGCTCTAGGTATCTAAGAAAAGGAAGAGAAGCCTATTTGTAAGACATAGTAGGAGAAAGAGAAATGGCATCTTGCGTTCTTTCCCCTAATGCTTCCAACTAAGAGGAAGTGCTTTAGCTTCTGAATCTCCATCCAGAATTAGCTGGCAAAGAATAAACTATGTAGAGCAAGGCTTCATTTGTTACTGGATCCTCATTTTTGTTTTACTTGTTCTTGTGGAGAAAGTTGAAAGGGACTGAATTATTAGGTCTTAGATCTGAAAACATTATCTGATCAGTTGATGATGTCTATACTTTGAACAAGGCTGGCAATGCTAGCTTTTAACGAGAACTCCTCTTCCTGGAGACTAATTTGTCTATGGTTCAACTGCTTTATATTTCTTAGGGAAAGATAAGTTTTCAAAATAAAGTAGAAACTCTCTTAACTGATCTTCACTTAGCCAACACACCAAATTACAGATGTCCTTTATTTCCTTTGTAAAACCTAGTGGCCATTGGTCCTATTATTAACATGCTAACAGTTCATGGTGAACTAGTATGCTTCT